CGGAGGTGGATAGACCTCCTACCCTGACACGTCGATTAAGGAATTGGGCGGTTTCGGTTCGCGAGAGGGCGTCGCGGCCGTCATTTTTGCGGGTTCAGGTCCGTCGGTTTCGGTCCCAGGCCGTTTTCACTAAGGGGAGGTTTACTACTCGGGGGCGGAAAAGAGGGGGGTGATGACTAGGGGGGGGGTGGATATCATGGCGGGGTCCATGATGTTTACGCAGATTTCATGGCGCCTCTTCCTATTTCATTACGTCCCTGGGCCCCCCGCTGGGCCGCGCACGTGCCGCCGGTCATGATTTGCACCCATCTCTCTTGGACACCCCCCTCTTGGCCGCTCCCGGTTTACGGCAGGGAGGCTTGTCCACCGCCGACGGGGCCCGGGAAAAGGGCCCCCGAGGCCGAGCTCCAGGGAGGAGCAGCGACTTGACGGATTCGCATCGTCGGGGATTTTGGTGCTGCGTGCCCGATCGGCGCTGCTCTGAGGAAGATGAGGAGGAGGAGGAGGGAGGAGGAGGAGAGGAGGAGGAGGAGGAGGAGGAGGAGGAGGAAGGGGAGGAGGAGGAGGAGGAGGAGGAGGCGGCGGAGGCGGAGGCGGCGGAGGCGGCGGCGGAGGGCGGCAGCGGCGGCGGCGGCGGAGGCGCAGGCGGAGGCGGAGGCGGAGGCGGAGGCGGAGGAGGAGGAGGAGGAGGAGGAGGAGGAGGAGGAGGAGGAGGAGGAGGAGGAGGAGGAGGAGGAGGAGGAGGAGGAGGAGGAGGAGGAGGAGGAGGAGGAGGAGGAGGAGCGCGACCTCACGCGAGCAGCTTGCGCGCCAGCGTCGGCGAAGACGGCCCCCCACCTGAGCGGAAGCGGGCGGGCGCCGCGGGCAAAACGAATCTGGGCCTCTCAGCAAATGTAGTCCGAGTCGGCGGGGTTAGAGGATCGGGCCGCATCGCCGCTGCATCGCCGATGCTGCTCGATTTGGCGCCCGATTCTCTCCACGCCGACGTCGCCGATGCATCGCCGACGTCGGCGATGCGGCGCGATCCTCCGACCCCATCTACTCGGACCCCATTTAGGAGGCCTCTCGCGGGGAGGCTCAGGAGCAACGTTTGGAGGGGCTCAGGGGGGGATTCCGATGTTTTCGGATTTTGTTCGAATGTTTCTGGAAGCTGTGGAACGTTTTTGAGATCCAGGGTGGTTTCCATCAGCTGCGCCTCGCCGAGGGCGTTCTGGGGGTACCAGAATCGTCCCGAACGGCAGCCAGAGAGCCGAGTTATGACCCGAAAACAGGGGGGCAACGCTAGGGGGTGATAGGCTCAGGGGGGGATGCATCGAACCGCAATCGCCTAGTCATCTCTGATGAGGACCTGATGTAGCCCCACCCCGCCCGAGAGCGTGCGGATTCGCTATCGGGGGCCTCTCGCCGATCTGTCAGCGATGTGTCGGCGATTCCAGGTCCAGGTTCTCTCCACAATGCCAGTCCCCCGCCCGCCTCCCGTGCGGCTGCGTCGCTGCTGTGGCCCTGTCGCCCCACGCTAGTTGATCTTGGCGTCACTCTCTGGCATGAGTAGACGTTTGGATCGCAATCCCAGTTGAGTACCATCATCACGGTCACCACTGTCGTCAAAGTTGCCAGCTATATCACCGCGGTCCCTCGTGCGGTCTGCTCGTACGGACGAGGGCCACTATCGCGGTCACAATATCCTGTCAGCGCTGCCGGCTACGTCACTGCGATTCGTCGTGTCGGCGGCGCGCCTGGGGAAAGCGAGAGGAGCTGGGCTTCCTCAGAAGGCGGCGGGGCCGATCCAAAGGCGTCCTGCCACCCGAGAGGCCCTCTTCGGATTCGGAGGCCTCCCGAGCCCTCTGTGAAGGCCCCACCCCCTCCGCCCTCTCCCCCAGGGGCGTGCCGCCGATCACGCGGGCCTGCGCGCAGCTGTTCACTGAACGCGTTCCACTACAGTCGGGGCCCTGAAGAAGGAACCCTTCTCGTTGGGGAGGGTCTCGGTGTTCCTTGTTTATTTCAAAGTTTGCCTCGGGTTTTCCTTAGGTTTCCCATGGGACATCGAGGTTGAACTTATGGGAAAAAGGGGCCTCGTTCCTTATTTAGGGTTCCTTAGGTCAACTCTCCGACTGTACGTGCGCAGTGACTGCTCGCAGACGTCCGAAAAGCACACGTCTCCTTCGGTGCAACTTCTCGTGGACCCCCCTCGGCGGGTCCAGGCCATCTGCGAGTCGCTACTCTGCGAGTGGCGGAGCGCGCTCGCCCAGCTGTGGTGGAGCGGGCGGCCCCCGCCGCCGTGCGGCCGCGGGAAGCGCGGGGGAGGTGCTCGGCAACGCCCTCACGTTCGGGGCCGTGCCCTCCGCCGTGCACCACGCGGGCGGGGGCCCCGGGGGGGCTGAGCAGCAGGGGGCTGCGAGGTGAAAGGGCCGGGGGCTGCTAGAGTTACGTCGGGCATGTCGGAACATTCAGGAACAGCCAGAAAGTAGTGTGGGGACGATTTTTGTTTGGGGGCTATTTT